AAAAAAAAAAAATCATTGGGGATGTGAATGATAATCTCAAGAAAGTCAAATCAATCCAGCATTTATACCGAGAAGAAATGAAGATAAAGCAAGAAGCTGTGTTTATTTTACAAGAAAAATGTACATCAAGTTGATATATAACGAGTCACAGAAACAAACAAACAAGAGAGAGGGAGAGGGAGAGGGAGAGAGGACGAGAATCAAGTAGGACAGGGTTTCCCAAGATCCCATTCACGAAGTTGGCCGGGTTTAGAGTAGCGATTAAACCCGATGAGTCCGACCCCAGAAAGCTTATCCTTCTTATGAAGAGCGGATCTATCATGAGAGTGGCGATTGTCGTCGTCGTCGGAAAAGGAGGAGGACGAAGAAGAAGAAGAGGAAGAAGAGTCCGAGTCCGAGTCCGAGTGGGCTTTGTGCTTCCGCTTCTTCGTCTTCTTCCGGTGATCTTTCTCATCTTTCCCGTCGTCTTGCTGTTGTTGTTGGTGGCGGTGATTGGACCTTGTAAGAGATGATGACTGGTCGATCATCATCCGTTTCTCCTTCCTCTTGCGTCTCTTCCTCTCTCGATCCAGGTCTTCCAACTCTTGATCCACCACCTCCTGCTCCTCTGCCTCGTTCCTCTCCCTCCTCCTCTTTTCCTTGTCCATCTTCTCCATCTTCTTGATCCTCTTCCGCTCCTTCCTTTGTTCCCGTTTCTCGACCTTCCTCAGCTTTGACTGAGCGGCCTGGAGCTTGAGCCGCAACTTGTGCTCCTTCTCGTGCGCTTTGAGCTCCCGTTTGGCCTTCATCTGGCCCAGGATCTGCTCCCAATCCTCGTAGTTTCCGCCCGTGATCAGCCCCGTCTGCGGGTCCGTGATGTCCTCTAGATTCACATCCAGTCGTGGGTCGTAGGTCGCCGAAAAGTATTTGTCCATCTTCGAGCTGCTCGGGAACTTTCGTCCTTCTTCTTGTTCTTCTACTGCTTGCCTGTCCTCCCTTTTGCAGATGTAGATCATTATCAGAATCGACATTCAAATTCGTATACAGAACCAAAAAAAATTACTTACGTCTCTCCGCTCTTATGGGTGATTCGAGTAGTCGAATCTCTGAGACTTGATGAATGAGTCCTATCAGAATCTCTCTCTCGACCGCGTTCTTTGCCTTTCTGCTTCTCTTTGCATCTATAATCTTTTTCTTCACCATCATCGACAATGGAACCAGATCGTTTGCATTTATCTCGACCCGAACTTGCAAGAGTCTGGCTACGTCTGGAAGTCGCAGTCCCACCGCCGACGCAGAAGTAGTCATCATTATCGTTATCGTCGTTTCGAGCAGCTCTGGATTCAGGATGATGCGATCTTTGTGAACTTCGAGAGTGAGTGTCTGAGGGGTCTGGGATCCTCGACGCTCTACTGCGACTGCTGTGACTATCCGTCTTGGGGCGTGTTGGGTATCGTTCTTCGTCCTCTCGTGCAGGAGTCAGTGTCCGTTCGGGCCTCCTTTCTAGTTGTCGGTTGTGGTCATTCACGTTTCGAATCACCGACTTGAGGAACCTTTTGTTTGTTTTCAATCCGTTTCCTGTCCTTTTTTTTTATTGAATAGATTGTGAGATTAAGAAGATTTTGATCAGGTCAGGAAAAAAGTGAGAGAGTTTGATTTTAGTAGTCAAGTACTGCTTACAAGATAGAATTGTCGAGTCGATTGTAAGTAGTAGACTGTTGGTAAGATTGAGACTCGAGCAAAAGCAACTTGGCGATCTCTGAATCCGAGTATGGATGTTTCTTGGCATCGGCTGAAGAGGATAGTCTTTGGGGATTATCGAGCTTTCTTCCAAGTGTGATGTCCATCGTTTCCGAGATTAATTCAAGTGGTTTTCTTTGTTGTAAGTTAGCAAGTGTTGATGGTGATGGTCATTGGTCATCGGGCATTGGTGAAAGATGAATATATGTAGGTGACTGTATGCGTTCCCCCACGGGCTCTCCCCGATGTTGAGCTCCCGACAATATACACCATCACCGAGTCCCGGGGGACCCCGAAGCGAAGAGTCAACAGATTGTCAACCTTTCATCGTAAACTGTTTTAATGGCCCAGTTCCAGTTGGTCTTCAAACACGATCCAGGGAAGATGTCTGTCTTCCCAGAACATCAATCTCAATGTCCGTGCCCTCATCATAGAAAAAAATCACTTGTCCCTCTCACCTCTTGACTTGATGCTTTTGTTCTTTTTTTTTTTTGAAATGGATCTGTCGGTAACTACGACTTGAACGGTACATACTCGAAGCACAAGACATTGGCAAATAAATCTTTCATTCTCAAGTACAACGATTGCCCAATATGGTTGACGACAACAAAACAAAACAAAAAACAAAATGCGAAAATGATTATTTAGATTTCGATTTGTTATCGATTGAAGCACGAATGAAAGCCTCGACGGCTTGGCGTTGATTAAGGAATTGCACGGGATCAGGGGGAGCTTGCCAGGTTCTAGGTTTGCGACGGAGATGGAAGAGTCCGGGGGAGATGTTAGGGAGCGGAGCGAGGATAGCCCACAGAGCATCAGCCGAGGAGGGCGGAGAGGGGACGAGGATGAGCGGAGGGTTGGGGGCCAGATGGAGCTGGAAGGAGCGGAGGAGGGAGGCCTGAGAGGGGGTGGGGTCGAGATGGATGGCCCTGATCGGCGGGCCGGTTTCGAGTTGAGTGATCAGATAGGGCAAGAGGATGTTGAGCAGTAAGAAGCTCTGCTCGGTGGAGTTGCTCTTGGATTTTTGCGGGGGAGTAGATAGGAAGACTAGAGAATCGAGCCGGGTGGAGTGGGTGGGTAGTCGACTGGCCTCGAGCCATTGACGCGCAAACCGGAGCGTGTCCTCGGCCGAATCAAGCTCACATCTCTCCAAGAATATCTCCTCATTGCCTCCCTGTCGCAGGAGTAGTACTAGCTGGAGGCTCGTTGGGTCGGTCACTGGACTCGGTAGGGCTATCAACAGTTGGGCTCCTCGCTTCGAAAGCTCTTCGATCAGCTCTAGTCCGATCTTGTCCATCGAGGGCTGCTGACCATAATCAAGTGTTTTTTTTTTTTGAAATTGTCAAGAAGAAATGCTCTTTTCACATATTTTTGGATGAGGAACACGCACGGCGAAGATGATGATAGTCTTTCCACGTAAATTCCTACGCAGATGACCGATCGAATTGTCAGTAAGAATGAGTTTTTTTTTATTTATTTTTTTGTATTGATCAAAGGACTGAGAGGGACCAACCTGAAAGGCAAAGAGTTAATCGAATAGCGATGGATGGCCATGGAGACGAGTTTGAAGAGGAGGATGAGGATGAGAGGCAGACAGATTGCCAGGAGACTGTTGGCGATTCTTCGGTTGGAGGCCGTCCAGAACTTGACGACCAACTCACTGATGACTAGTAGCATCTTCCTTTTCTTTGAAGCTGGGTGCTGAAGGGGTTGCTCGGGAAAAAATCGACTTGGAACGGGATTGCTTCTTGCTCGCTTCGGACTCTGAGAAAAAGCCTCGGAGTTCTTGTCACTTCGATCGCCGAGCCTGAGGCCGTCGGCTAGTACACTCCATCCAACGCTTGTCTACATATAAATTCGAATCCACATTTGTTTATTGAACGCCCTACAACAGCACCGCCATGAGTCCATGACCATCCCCCATAGCCTGAACTTCGAAGTGTGCTGAGTTCGGAGAGAATGAGGACTGTGACATGTGACCATGTGGTGTGGAGATGTCACATACTACTCGCTTGAGCCTTCTTGGTAGTTTTTTTTTTGTCGACACACAGCGAGCCAGTGAAACCGACAAGAACCAAGTTGAATCAGAAAGAAATTAAGAAGGAAGGCACGACGACGACTCCGATCATCACCAGGAGAACATCACTGATTCGATCGCAAAGATGAGTCGGAGGATCATCAAGCCCAGTCTCCCCTACGACCTATGTGCGCATCTGCAAAACACGGCCCGGAGTCGACTACGGACCGTTCCGGTGCCATCGAGTGGACTGCACCAGAGTCTGTTGACGATCCTCCTGGACCAAGGCTTCATCTCCAACCTGACTCGAGGCACCAAGCAAGCACCCGACCCCGCCGGATTCCTCGCCGCCCCCATCAGCCAACGCAGACTCTGGATCGAACACAAATTCCGCGACGAACAGCCCGTGCTTCGTAACGCTAGACTCGTCAGTAAACCCTCCCTCAGGGTCTATCACGATCGCAGCCTCTTGAACAAATTCGTAGACCAGAAAATCTCTCTCGGCGAGATCTGTATCGTCCGCTCCGTCGACGGCCTCTTCCTTTGGGAGGCCCGGGAGGCCCTCAAACATTTGGATAATCACCAATCCGTCGAGGTTCTTTGTCGGGTGTCTTCTTAATTATTACTCTTTTTCACTTATGGTAATTATATTTCATTTTCTTTCAAATAACTAGACTTTTTTTTAGAATTAATGACGTTTTTTTTTGCTTGGTTTTCATTTTGATCATATTCAGAACCAATTGTTTTCAAAAGCTCCTTTCCCCCCCAAAAAAAAATCACTCAGCATCATTTCATGAATGTATACCCTTTTTTTTATATCAGAAAAAACAAATCATTGAGAGAAAAAAAATAAAGTCCTTGAAGAAAAAACCTTTACCTACAACACAAGTTATTTATCAAGACAAAGAGGAACCGAGTGCGACACTTTCCCATTCCGGGCTCGAAGAAAAAATGAGGATCGTCAGAAGTCTGCACCGTTGGATCGAGGAAGAGCAACAAGCGTACAGATACATACATGTATACACTATGAAATGTCTGATTGGATGGTTCAAGTGTGAGATTGTCAGCTGGGGGCTGCTACATACTGGGTCTCCTCTCAAAGCCCAATTATTTATAGTTGGGAGTTTCATCCATCCTTTACAGAATTTCACATGGACCATCCAACTCTATGATTTTTTTTACTGGATCATCATCTAGCATCTGGGATCAACTTGTATGGCTGGTGCATAGCATAGATCTGGAAGGGGTCAGGGAGGTGCATTCAATGCATATGCTGGTTGGATTGTTCAGCAAGTTGTGAGACTGGTCGGGAAAAAAAAACATCTTCTTATACATGATCACACATGTTTAATCAAAATTAACAAACATGCGTTTTTGGATGTATTTGTAACAAGGATCTAAAAAATAGGGAGACAGGAAGATATAATCTTACAATTCTTGATTCATCAAATGCAAGGGAAAAAAGGGTCTTTGAGTTCCAAGACTCCCACAGTTACTAGTACTACTTAGATAGAGCTAAAGATATTGGATTTCTTTTTATGCCAGTTGGTCCTATGCTCTGGATGGAGAGTCTCCCTTCAGGATATAATTTTGGGTAACCTTGAATTGTTACCTACAATAGATCTGCATATTTGAGAGAGTGCTTGGTTGGTTGGCTAATCTTATAGGAAATTGTCTGCTGGCAATGGTGGGCCAGCTATGCTAACCGTAGCGGTAGCGTAGCGTAGCTAAAATAAGCTAAGATTTAGTGTAGTGTTAGCACAATCCACAAATCTTCACTAACACTACCCGTACAGGGTGCCAAAGCTTGTTAGCTTTTATTGTAGTGTTGGTGTGATTCCACACACCTGCACTAATGCTACACGCACGGGGCACAAAAAAGCATCCGCTATGCTGTGCTACAGCACTTTCTAGCATATTTTTGGCCTTTTTTACCACTGAAAGTGCTGTAACAGCGCGCTAACACTAGAAAAAAAATTGGAATCAAAAAAGGTTGAGCCAGGTTGGTTGTTCAGATTGGAGTCAAAACAGTAAATTCTAATGCTTTTCCACAACATGCGCTGGTGAATGTGCTACTCAACAGTTGTTTGAAACCACCTGTTGACCATTTTTTTACAAAATTTTCATTTTGTATAATCATTCTTCCCATGTTCCATTCTTTCTCTCTTCCAGTGCTCCCACTCCCCCAAAATGAATATCAGAGCTTTTGGGAAAAAAAAATGTTTTTATTTTTTATTTTTCACAGATTTTGAAACTTTATTTTATTTTATTTTTATTTTGTTCATATTCATTCTTTGGGACCTATTCTGCACCACTTCACCAATTATTGTGACTTCAAGTTTGTGCTTTGAAGCTCTGGAATCCAAAACAAGCAGCCAAAGATAATGGTCCACCCACTGTATGTACATATGCTGTTAAGTAGTGTTAAGTAGAAATTTACATCTTCAATATTGAACACCATAACTCAACAGCATAACCTAATTGCTTCAACAACTTTTGAGAAACTGAAAACATTCCACACTTTCCTACTCTTGAACGCACAAACTTAAGGGTATGTAAACATCAGGAGGTTTTCTTTACTCATTCATTGTGCAAGATCTTGGAGATGTGGATGGTTGGGGGCTATTCATATAAAACCTGAGAAATTGAGAATAATTGTTATGAAGTCCTTCTTCTGGCTGACTAGGACAATTCAGCACCCCAGGCTGATTGAAACATACCATTGATGTACTTGTTTCTACATCGAGAAAACCAACCAGTTGTCTCACAACCTGTATCTACTCTGAGCAGCTCAGCCACTATCGGACATCTTAGTCATCCACGAAGCCGTCGATGCTACATTCTCCCATTATGAAACGCGTTCGTCTGGAATATCTCGACTTCTAGAAATATCTCAAACCCGGGTTGTACATACTGGTCACAGCGGCACGGCTGCCTTGGTCCGGGTGATTATTATCTTCAATGACGCAATAAAGCAAGTGTGATCTTTTTCCGCATGGTTTGATACTGTCTGGAATCCTGGATGCAAGCGGGGGCACCGTTAAATCAGATCAACAGGGTCTTGTTCGGCGCCCCATTATGATATTTGGGACAATGACCGTCAACATGCGCCAAGACCAAGCATCCTCAGCGACAGCACGTAGGCGAGTCTTGCGGGAGGTGGGCATGACTTGAGTAATGTGATGGGTGGCTGGCCGGACAACTCTGTAATTGCTGCTTGTTTTGTGACTGAAATTGCCTCTGCGGCGTCGCAGAGAATGCCCGATGCCTACTTGACTCCGGCGACCCGGATGAAGCAAAGAAAATGACCCGAGTCGACGTTCAAAGGTGTCATTGACCTTGGCTTCCTGTACTCCGGCGGCTCCCACCCAAGCCGACACACCTCAGGTATGTCTCACTTGATGTATGAGCACAGGTGCTATCTAATTCTCCGGCATCCGTGATACACCTTTGGTATACAGTCGTTTCAAGAACGCGATGGTTGTGGTGACATTGAGGCCGAGTAAAGATTGGTTATAAGCCCACCCCTCTAAACAGTTTGCGAGTCAGGCACTTCACGTTTTAATTGGCGACTATCTGCTTCTCGCAGATTTCTATCATTCTTCACCATGCGAGCTGGTCGGATCACGCGAATCTTTTTTGGGATTTTCCTTTTACTCAACCTACTTTCCTTTTCAATTTCCATACCAGCCCTAGCCAAAGCAGCCTTCGATTCTACTCCAGCCATCAATGCAGTGGCACCCCTTTCGAAGAGTGCGGCGGCACCGAAATTACTGGACTCCAAAACTACACTCAGCCCCACAGAATCAGCACTTGACCTTCAAAAGATTCCTCCCGACAAAAAGAAAATCACTTGCTTGACCATCGGATCGCGTGGAGATGTGCAACCATACATAGCCCTTTGTCAAGGATTGATCGAAAAGGGACACGCCTGTACAATTGCAACCCACGAAAAATTTCGAGACTGGATCATTCAAAGTGGAGTTGCTTTTCGTCCGGTGGCTGGAGATCCCGAAGAATTGATCAAACATTGCACGAAAAATGGTAAGTTTTCAGCTTATGACTTGACTATGTAATTGATCATTTGACACTGATAGACAAATCGATGAAAAGGCATGAAGTCGTTCTCTTTCTGGTGGAAAGGGAAGAAAAAGGTAGGTTGCCGTACTTTCCTGAAATTCTAAAGAAAAACGCTGAATTTGATCCCATGAAAATCGTCTGGAATCGCCTTCATTTATGAAAACAAAATCAGTTTGGTCCATGGTTTGATAAACTGCTCGACAGTTCATGGGAAGCCGCTCAGGGTAGCGAGCTGTTGATCGAAAGCCCAAGTGTCATGGTCGGCGCCCACATTGCACAGTCCCTCAACATACCATACATCCGAGCTTTCACGATGCCATGGACTAAAACTGGCGTTTACCCTCATGCCATGGCTGCGATGGGAACCTATTGGGGAGAATGGATGAATAAGCTAAGGTAAAATGGATAGACTCCTTACACTTTTACTGCAACTAAAAACATCAACGCTGATTTTATAATTTATAATCTGAAGCTACAAGCTCTTCGATGGAATCACTTGGTTGCTCATTCGGAGTAAAGTAAACCGCTGGAGGGAAAAAACATTGAACCTTCGACGAACAACATTGGCAGAACTGCAGCTCTCCAAAGTACCATTCTTATACAACTTCAGTCCACACGTAGCGCCAAAGCCAAGTGACTGGGGAGACTTAATAAAAGTCACAGGATACTGGTTTGTGAAGCAGAAGCAAAACCCAGTAAACATACCAAATGATTTGGAAAAAGCGATCGAAAAGGCTAGAAGACAGCATAAGAAAATCGTGTACATTGGTTTTGGCTCGGTTAGTAGGAAGTATACTGATCAGATAGGTCAAAAAAGCAAAACTAACTGACGAGTACATGGTTAGATTATCGTACCGGATCCCAAAAAAATGACTGATGCTATCGTTGGAGCAGTGGAGGAGTCCAATGTATTTGCCATAATATCAGGAGGGTGGACGGCTGGTGCCGCAGAGGGTGCCACGAAAGTTGCAGCGGAAGGTGCCACGAAAGGTGCAGCGGAGGGTGCCACGAAAGGTGCAGCGGAGGGTGCCACGAAAGGTTCAACAGAGACTGCGACCAAAGGCGCAACAGAAACTGCGACAGAAGAGAAAACTGAAGCTGAAAAGGAAGCAGAGATTGCTACAGCTTACATGAAAGAGAAAATCGGAGAGCGGCCAAACTCGATGCACTACGTAGACTCAGTTCCTCATGAGTGGCTCTTTCCACAAATCTCTGCCGCTTTACATCACGGAGGCGCAGGGACAACAGCCGCAAGCATCCGAGGTTAGTATTTCATGACTAGCTTCTCTGACCATTCATGCATTATCGGCATTGAAGCAAATGCGAAATACTCACGCAGATCTCTTGTTCCTCTAGCTGGCATCCCAACATTGATTAAGCCTTTCTTTGGTAAGTTGATTCGGAACTTGGATCCATAGAGCAATCTTCGTCCTCAGAAATCTGACCTTTTGATTCAAACAAATCCAGGCGATCAAACTTTCTGTAGGTCGTTTCGCTAGGTCACACTCACCCGACAAAGACTGAATTATTGACTTGCTGGCTGGCTTGATTTCTTTTTTCTTTTCAATTTTACTTCACAGGGGCGCAGAGAGTAGAAAAGCTGGGTGTTGGCACACACGTCGCCAGTCTCGGCAAAAAAGATATTGCTGATGCACTTTTCAAAGCTACCACGAATGAAAAACAGATTGCGGCAGCCAAGGCTCTAGGGAAGCAGGTCGACAGCGTAAGTGTATTAAAAAAAACTTACCAGCGAGGTCCTCAAATTCTTGGCTGGCTAAATTGATCCATTTTGTGTTCAAACCGTTCTATCGTAACAGGAGGATGGCGTGAAGATAGCTATTGATTCAATCTTTAACGTGAGCCCTCGCAAACCCTTGACTGCTGACCGATTTCTTTCGAACACAAAAGTTGATTCCAGTTTTGACGATGATTACAGTACATGGACGCATCACATGCGCTAATCCAAAAGACCAGGGCAATCAACCTGAAGAAGAAACCCAGACCATCCTCCACCAAATTGGGCGAGATCAAAGCCCAATTAAGTTCAATATTGGAAGAGTTGCCCTTTGGTGGAATCTGGCGAACTGTGAGACTTAAGAAACAGTCTCCAGAATCCCAATCTTCTTCAAAAACTTCCAGTGAGGTCGGACATATAGCATTGATGGAAAAAAAGCCGTCTGAGAAAATTCCCCTCCTTTCCACACCATAGTGTACTTTCATTACCCCACATCTCAAATTATTCTCTCAAATTGACATTTGTAGTGTGTAACTCGTTTAATTTGTTTTTGATTATTGTCTACATTTTCTCGACACAAAAAAAACTGGTTCCATACATACTTACCATTAGTACTCCACTTACAGTCAAGTTTCATAAATAATGATAAATTGATAGTTAATTCCTTTTAATTTTGAATATTATGTGATATTTCAGATATATCATAGAGCCTGGCAGATCCAGCTGAAAGGACCATTGACTATTGAACAGAACAGAGAAAAACTAGGTGACAACTTCCTTTTCCAGTCACATTAGATTCATGTTCTTAGTTGTAGAAAACGTGGGTGTGTATGTATACCCTCACTCCCAAAAGTATTAAGTTCGGCTCCTGAGTCATTGGACTTGACATTTTCTCAAGCGTCTAAATGCGTACATTGAGGGACTGTTCATTGTGGCATTGTTCACGTTTTTTTTAAATGATCGTTTGTTAATTTATGAGCTACGCAACTTTTCCAAGAACCAAAAAAATGAACAAACTAAACATAGGAGAATTACTACACATGATTCTAATGATCGTTTCTTTTTTCTTCTTTTTTTTTGGGGGGGGGGGGAGTTGCTGTGCGCTTTTCGACGAGCAAAAAGGATAAAAAACACACATCTAGAGGAAGGAATTAATAAAAAAATGTAGAGATGTGGGGGGCGTGGGTGGGTTTTTCTTAGCGCAAACAACAAGCTCGAATGAAGGGGAGAAGCAACTGAAAAAAAAAAAAATAAGTCATACTCAAACCAAAAAAAGAAAGACAGGAAACCGATCTATTTTAAACAGCAGCAAAAGATTGGGCGTTTGATTTGTCGATGCACCTGTGTCAAGCAATGGGTGGCAAAGATATCAGTCTCCTGTAATTTTGATGAGAACCAGTTTGGTGCACTAACGTTCGCAAAGAATAATCGTCTCCATGCTGCGTGATGTAACTGTGACAAAGTGTTATACACACTTTAAGCTTTGAAAGACCTGTCTGGTGGTCGAAGCACAAAGTTACTCACCGGACCCATGGGAGGGCTTGATATCCAGATTTCTCGACGATTTTCAGGTATCGCACTTGAATCCCAGATACAGTGAAGTATGGAATTTCAAACTTGATCGTAATCGGTGGGCGTTTTTCAATCACATCCTCTGCAGCGTTATCACAAATTCATCCAGCCCAGTCAATCACTCATAATTGAAGTACTTTGAAATGACTGTGGACGAGTGCAGCACTGACCACTTCGAACGGAAGGCAATCCAAACTGAGCTCGCATCAGATACTCCCGTCCGCCTCCTAATTGTTTGATTTTCCAAACAAACGCCGATTTCTCTGGAACATAATGTACAGTGCCCACACTTGCTCTGAACCGAGGCGAATCAGCATCATCGGGCACGGGTACGTAAATTTCCACATTGTTGGCTGTCGATCGTCGCTTGAATTGCGCTTTGGCTTTCACCATGTATTCGACTCGGCTGTTTGAATGTAATTCGACCATGGCTTCAGCCCAGATTAAGGGCTTGACTTGCGTGTTGATTCGGTATGACATCAGCTCAAATTCGCCATCAGGAGGGATAAATGATATTGTCCGGTCGTTCTCAAACCGTGATAATCGAACACACTTGAAATGAGAGAAAACAAACGTTATCAGAGGGTGAAATTGGATTTAAACAGGTTATGCTCCATCAATGTGACGATATTGGAATCAAACTGACTTGATGAAATTTTGTGTCCTCCATCTCAATCGCCTTGCCCCGAGAAGCTATACTCGCAAACGAAGTCAGTTAATGGAAAATTCCTACAACTTTTTTCTGAGAAATCAGTAACGAACTTCTGCCGGTACTCTCAAACATAACTTTGTCGTTCAATCCTAATCTGAGTTCGGGCATTCCACTCAAATAACATTTCATTTTGACTGCCCCCAGAATCTCACTTCGAACAACATTTCCGTTCGCGTTGACCAACAAGTTTACGCTTTCCACCACATCCTTTAGAAACACGGGCCAACAACGCATCAGCCTCCATGCACAGTCGGTCTTTCTTTTCTAGAAAAACGACTCACTAAGAAAACCTCATTTTTCCTGTATCGGATCCCTTCAGACCTCCAACTGACTGCGTTGGTTACTGCCATGGGTGGCCTGACTTGAATTTCTAGCTTGTGCGATTCTTGTGTGATGTATTCCTGCAAGATTTTGGATTCCGTTGTTTGTGGATAACCAAAATCCATCATTTCGTCTAATAGCTCATAAATGATAACAAACTTTGGTTAAAAGATAAATCCTCAGTTCGTGTGTATTGCTCAAGATGTGGCATGTGGCCATACTCAATTGGGAAGTGCAAATGATGATTGGTGAACCCATTTTTTTTCTCTGCAGCACATAGAGAATTATAAAAATACTGACATTATCACGAATAGACTCCTCCTCAAGTTCTTTGAAATATTCGGACAACACCTATTTGTTTGTTTGGGTGAGAATCAAAAACATGTTGGAGTGTCAGAATGGGTCGCTCGGGAAATTCTTTAAAAAGGGAGTTCAGAATGAGGGAAGTGCTGAACTTGAGCCAATTTATGCAGAAAGGTCAGGATTTCTGCTGCATTCGAGTTCCTTTTCGACAAAGCGATCACTTCAAAATCATGAGGATAAAACAGGAATTTGTATCAGTTCTGAGTAGGAAGCTTGTCAAATCAGTTAAGAGTTTGTTTTCAGTTGGAGGTCAAGAATTCAAGCTCACAGTACAAATTATTGTGGCGGATGTACCTGCAACAGAGATGATGATTTGGAGGTGAGGTTCACAAGGAGCCAAACCATTCAAGCTTGATATGATGGATAGACTTGAAATCAGCTGCTCACATGTAGTTAATTCCAGCTACTGTGAAGCATGGAGTTACGGATGAGACGTCATTTTCCTCCATTTCCAACAAATTCGGCATGAATTTCTCGACGGTTGCTGGTAATACGTCATCACGATAGCTACGTTGAATGAGACTCTACAATCGTGGGGTTATAAGTGGCAAAAGGCGGGTGAGTTTTAACAGTCTTCTGAGCTTGAGAGCTTATCGCAAGAGATAAGCTGTGCGGTTCAAAGAAATGATCAATTTGCTTACTTTACCCTTCAGGTCACAGATAGCGACCAGAGAAGCCATTTATCTACGACTGGAGTGAATCACGAGAGATGCTGGCTACGATGTTCGAGTGGAGTGTCCGAGTGGATTGTGTTCTGGTTCTTGATCGATTGGATTTGGTGGTGGTGGTTAAACGCAGTGTTGGGTGGAGTGATCTGGGTCTTGGGCCTTGGCTTGTTGACCATCGGTAAGGTACCCAGACAGCAACTTACCGACGACTGCAGGTCGGGGGCATCGGGGTGGAGCCCCGCGGGCTCAGATCGGGCCCCGGGGAGTCCCCCTTTGAAGTTTGGAATCAGCTCCACCTCGTAAACAAGTTACTCGAATCCTCACTTGACCACTTCAATCTCACTAACACCATGCACAATCCACGAGCGCAAGCGACTACGGCCCTCAAACGTCTGATGACCGAGGTGAGGTTGGAATGATGATAACCAGGAGGCTTTGAATATCACTAACACTCTTGGTTCCCCTCGGCGTGCTAGTATCGACAACTGAATAACAAGAACGCCAAGAAGTCCGATAACGAGGAGGCGATGTTTGTTGCTGGTCAGCTGAGCTTAGAAAACCTACCACTATCTACGCTTATTCACATTTTATTGAAACTGATCCCCTGCTGTGGTGTGCATGTACCTCACCCCCTCAGGTCCGATTTCCGAATCAGACTTTTTTATCTGGGAAGCCTTGGTTGCTGGACCTCAGGATACTCCGTTCGAAGGAGGCCTGTTTACGGCCATTCTAACCTTTCCCCGAGACTATCCTCTATCGCCCCCCAAGGTAAGTCTTGAACTTGATCTGTGTGTGTGTTTATCCCTCATAGGACCAAAATGTCAATGTGGTGATTTTTTTTTTCTTTTGTCTTCAAAGATGACTTTCAAACCTCCCCTGCTTCATCCTAACGTCTATACTACCGGTGATGTTTGCATCTCAATCCTTCATCCACCGGGAGAAGATCCAAATCAATACGAATCCGCTTCCGAACGATGGTCTCCTGTCCAGTCTGTAGAGAAAATTCTATTGAGCGTCATCAGTATGTTGGCTGAACCTAATGTCGAGAGTGGTGCTAATATTGAATGTTGTGTAAGTTCATCCCTTCAGCATATGAGGGTCCCTTAACAAGGAGAAATGACTATGTACAAACTTCAATTTGCTTACCTATACCTGTACCCATCTTTCTTCTTCTTGCTCACTCGTGTCTACACATCCTTGGCTGGCTCTCACGATCTTGCATACTTGATCTAAACAAATAAACGTGACTGTTTTCTCGAACCAGAAACTTTATCGAGACGATCGAAAGATGTATGAAAAAACTGTGCAACAGTTCGTTCGACAACAACTCGAGTTGTAGTCTTGCACACCATTTTTGTGACATTTGTATTCTAATTACGATCGTGTTTCCTTTTCCTATTTATTGATCAAAGTCAACTACTCACAGAAAAAAACAATATTAAACATTTCAACAACAGATTCACCACTGCTTTCAAAACGAAAATACAATCTCAATTCATGGTTAGTTGGCCGCAAAGAAATTCACTCAGATTGTGAAAGCATTGATGACATAGCTCAGGTAACTTCTAGGATATCATAGGCTGTGAAGAATGCCCCTATAGGTTTGTGCAGCGTGGAGGGACGAGGCCAAAGAACTGGGGTTGAGCTCGGGCTTTGTTCGGGCTATGTGCGGCTCCGAAAAATTACAGATTCAAATGACTTTGACATACCATGCCGCTCACCAAAGGTGGCCGGATTACTCGGTAGGCCTGGTAGTGTTCGATATCTTGACATCACTCTCAGCTGTGCACCTTCTGCAAGTCTGACGGAGTTAGCCAGGGCCCAGAGTCAGCCTACCTAGGTGCCACAACTCATCGTTGAGGGATATATATGGCGATTGAATTACTGCTCTATTGTTACCAGTGGTTGCATAGAAAGATCTGCATATACATACATAATCATCAAAAGCAAAGCACGGCAATCCTGCTTCCAGTTGCGGTGAGATCCATGCGTTGCCGAAAAATGACACGGCCTGTCTGCGCCACGGATGACGTTGCGGTGAGGACCATCAGTTGCCGAAAAATGACATCGCCTGTCTGCGCCACGGATGACGAACAGATTCATCGTTTGCGAGCTCACTGAGATGAGAGATTCCTTCGCAACATAGACGCAATATAGGTACCCCATCTGCGTCCGAAAAGGCCCGAAAGCGCGTTGCTAAACGAGGCTCCATGTACGGCGATAAGCTGCCACTGAGCTCGTGCTGCCTGTACAGAAAAAGTACCACATTGAGTTTTTGCGCCAAAATTCTTTCAAGTGAATGATGATAGTACAATCGATAGTCATCCCCGATTGCTCGGCTGCCGCCCATTGTCACCCGGAATACCTCCTTCTGCAAAAATCTCACAACCACGATATGCTGGCATGTTGTACGCGTACTACGCATAGAACTCCAGACACATGCAACTAATAGATGCTTGTCTATTTGAAGTGGCATAAGGTCCCTACCTACCGGCCGGCCTTTTCATCCTTCTTGAGTAGTTTCTTAAACCGATCAAGATTCAATTAATTTTTGCAATATTCAGCATTCAAATCATTTGTTGTTCCATCAGTACCTTCCACAATGCTTTTCGCCATTTCCCTCTCCCTTATCCTCATGGTCCTCTTGATCCAAACCGACATGGCACATGCGAACTTCTTATGTAACGACAAGGGAACAATAAGAAACAGAAAGGCCACACTCGGTCATTGTTTGAGACTGGTAAACGATGCCGACCTGAAGTCAAGAAGTGGTCCTTTTTTGAAAAAGGAAAATGCAAAATGGTTAAGTAAGCATTTGTTCATCTTAGGGCCGACCTGTTGATCTTTCTAGTCCATGAGCAAATCTTCTAGACACTTGACAAATGATTAATTCTTCTTTCCACGATTCTACAGTGACACTCGCCCCGCCAGGAAAGAAACGCGGCTTTACCTGCGAACACGTGAAGATTGACGGCTTTCCCATAACAAGAGAATTTTGTTGCCGGCCTAAAACAAAAGACCCGTTAGTCTTTGGTGTAAGTTCTAAGAATACTATGATTTTGCTCATTTATTTTTTAGAACATCGGTACGTCAGAAACTAATATCGCTTTCACTACAGAAAAACATTCCCGCTACTCAAGCAATAATTGATGACGCTTGCTATCGTCGGGATGGACCTCCCATAAAAGGGGGACGGAAGAAAGGGCCCGGGCACTAATCTCGCGTTCAACAAAAGGGATGCAGACTGCTTTCGGTGAGTCTGTTTATGTGTAGTGTTTGTTATAGTCAGGATGAATCTCACAATAACCATCAATTGTCTCACTCTTCCATTCTATTAGCTCCTACCTATGTCCCTGGCAAACTGTCATCTATTCCCATCACAACCACCGATTCGCCGCCGAAGTGTCAGCGACATTTCTCCAGGCGAACGAGGCTGGATTTTGGCTGGGCATTTTTTTTCGCTCCATTTTTTCTATTCTTCTTCTTTAGTTCCGGGTATCTTCATTCATAAATATTTCCCTTTCTCTTACAAGCCACTATAGCTGCTTGAACTCTATTTTATCCTCCTGGTTCATAATCAACTATTAATCTAATGCCTGTGTGCATTGACATTGACATTCCAACAATCATGAGTATTGATTCAGCTTTACCTGATCACTCATCAATTTTCTCTTACATCCATGTGGGTCCATGGGTCCTTTCTTTTTTGATCCTGATAATATAATAAATTTCACATTGAAATCATTGTCAAATATATGTTTTGTATATGTCCCAAATATACAAGCCTATTGCTAAAATGGATGTAGGAACTTCAGGTAAAATCAGATGATGGAAACCCAAATTATATTCTAAACCTCTGAAAAGCATATTTCAAGTTCTTCATGATCTGTTGAACCAGATGCATTATTCAAAATCACTCAAATCAATTATTTTGCAGAATATTGTTGGCAATGTTGAAGTCTGAGCCCCATGGTGCTCAACCATTCATCCCTCTCAACTCATAGCCTATGACCCTCATGCCTATGACATCATTATTCGTGCTTTGTGGTTGGTTTTTGGGTGTCGATCAAGTGAGATGATTTAGATCCAATGTGAACTGTGCTACATATTGGATTTCAACCTCAAGGCTGCCAAGTTCCAAGTGCCTTCGAAGGCATTGCATACATATAAATAAGTATCATCATATTTCCCAGAATCCAGGTCAGCTATCCTTCAAATCAAATCATGTTTTTCCCTGCTGGCTTCCGTACAGGTAAGGAACTTCTCATCAAATAAATACTTACTTTCATCATATCTCCTTTTGACATCAATGTTCTGATTAACTCTCTTTGCATCAGTGTTCTCATCAGGTCATCCTAGAGGTGGGTGCGCTGCGACCGCGAATTGACAACAAGCAGACGACTGATTTCTTTTTTATAAATCAGGTCTATTCCTTCACAAATCTCCACTCAGAAGCCTTTCAACGATCAGCACGACAAGCCTGATATCACCCACATCCGATGCTGCATTTAAAAGGATTTTCAACAAGCACGATTTACTCTTGAAGCTTCTCAACATCATCTTAGAAAAAAAGAAGGTTGTTGTTGCTGAAATCTAACAAGTTTCAAAAGTCGTTCATTCCGTTCCCGAATCTACAACGAAAGCAAAAGCAAAAGGGAATACTGAGTGAGAAAACCCTAGTGCACTAAAATTGCTCAAGCTGGACTTCATCTCCAATGAGAGTGTTGCCTGCGACCACGCACACCGGATCGTCCACTACGACCTCGTCGTGAGAGCCAGTTCCAACATCACTGTCAACATTGAAGTTGTATCTTGACCAAATTCTGTATCACAGCGCTCGGCTGATTGTCGATCACATTGTCTGGAAAGGCAAATACCACCCACGTGATGAATACAAGAAGGCTCAATCAAACAATTCCGCTGAGAGGCAAGGAAAGACTCAAACCCGGAATTACCGACCCAATCCTCAGTACATAATCTCGGTATGCGATTTTGGGTGGGAACAATTGCCGTCGATACCCATCGAGATGCGCAAGCAGTGGCTTTTCAGGAAGAGACTGTATAACAAAAGGGACACAGCCTTTCCCGCCTTACCTGAAGCAGCCGACGAGTCCCTTGTACCAGAGGAAGAATCAATTTTAAATTTTTGTCTTATATCACTGCCCACGTTTCGTAAGGTTCAGGGTGACAACGTGAATAACCCGCTGGAACGGCTCATGCAGATTTTTGCCAATACCGGACCAGATTCAGTCCCGCAGTCTCTGCCACAATGGGCAAACGATGACCTGATTGCCAAGGCCTTTGTTGACCGGCTCTGTTTGGAAGGTCTTAGCACCAACGAAAAAGACGCCTATTGGAAGTGGGAAGAACGCACATGTGAGATTGAACAGATGAGAGAAGACTGAAAAAACTCAAGCAACTAGAAGTTTTATTTTCATCAGGATGTGTTTAAGTACAAGCAGTAGATAACATTATTTGGAATAGTTATGTACCTAGAAGCAAGTGAGACTATTCCAGCTGTTTTTGTAGAAGGCTTGTTGAAAGAAGAAATGTATAGACGGGACAATGATAATGAAAAGGATAGAGTAAGAAATGTTCTGTTCGAAGTAATAAGCTGGTTTAGTATCTGTACTACATGGTGGTAGCTGTTTATAGATATCTAGTCTTACTCTTAGGATCTCGTGTCGAGTTTCTTTTCTAGGTTGTTTTATGATTGTTGCTGATCAGCGCAGTTGATTTCTGTTCAAGTGGCGGTTCTAAGTCAGCTTCGGTTTCTTCTCTTGAGCTGTTTGTCTCAAAGTTTTATTCTTACCTTTGTTCGCTTCAAGGTATAGTTTTGTGTTCTGGTTGTTATAGGTGTTGATAGTGTCTGGTCTGTCTAGAGAATAAGTCTTATGTTAGTTGTTTGACTAATTAAGCTATTCTTGATCTGTTGCTCACCAATTGTTTCGCTTGGTATGTTCTTGTTGGGCAAGGATACTGCGATGGGGGATGACAATCGGTTGAGCAGGCTGCTATTTAAGGTCGACAATGGTCAGCCTAGAAGCTCTCATGTGTCTTCGTCTTTTCTTAGTTTAGTGTGCTGCGAACTCACCTCCTGTTGGATCTGGTGTTGTTCTCTGATTCCATCGCGTTGGCGGATAGGCTACGGTCTGTCAGTTCCAACTTAGTTAGCTTTCTGCCTCCTAGATGGTTTATAGCATGATTTATAGCATGATTTGGTGACGGTGGCTTACCAATCACTGCTGCATTCTAGCCCTTTTTAGGGTCGAATCTCTGTCTATTGAGCTTGAATTCCAACAGCCCGGCATGCTTCTAGTCGTTAGATTAGAAGCAGCTTCTGAGACTTGCAGAATCCCGATCGCTGCCAGGGATTTCCTGATGGTTGAACGACCCAAGGCCTTTGTGAGGAAGTCTGTGATGTTTTCGGTGGTTTTAACATAGTGTAATTTGATTAGCGCCGCCTGTATGAGTTCCCGCACAAAGTGTAAACCAATGTCCATGTGCTTTGTTTGGAAACTGTTTTGCGATGTTTCGCTTTTTGCTAGATCTATGGCGGCTCTGTTATCAACGGCGACTTCAATGTTGTCGGCGGCCACTCCGACTTCCAGTTCTTTGATGAGACTTGCAAACCAGGCTAGGTCCCTCCCTAAGTCGGATAACGCTTTGTATTCAGCTTCCGCTGTTGAGAGCGAGACAGTGGACTGTTTGCTGGCCTTCCAGTTGAGGAGATGGGTGCCTTTTACAATGACGAAGCCTGTTGTCGATTGCCTAGTGTTGAGGCAATTTCCCCAGTCTGCGTCCACGTAAGCTCTGACAGGCGATGTCAGCGCCGGTCTCTTATGTGACCTGGCGTTGATGGGTTTTACGGGTCACACTATAACTGCTAGTGTTACTAGCAGCCAGTGGATGAGAAACCTCGCCTTGACGCTAGAAAGCGGAGGGGTTAAGCTCCCTAAGTTTATAGGGGACGCGTGCGGTAGAGTCGTCGCAGCGCCGGGCTTAGAGGAAGGTTCAACTCTCTTCTAGGCTACAGTATTGACTTTACTGTAGTCTAGGGATGAGATAAAGAAGTAAGGATAATAGTAATAGTAATATAGATTATAATAAAAACCCCACTCACTAGTTGTAGTAAGGTGAACAGGTTGTATGGTAATAATCTCTGGGGGGAGGATTCTTGGGAAGAAGACCTCCCCCTTAAGTATTACAAAGGCAGGGGTCAACCTGCCTGTGAGACCGGTGAGGCCTGCAGAGGATCATTTATGTATATAATCATAAATGATCAAAATATGTATTTAAATTAAGCTTTAAACCAGAAGTGGAGGAAATGATGTCATTCAAGCTCAAAGGAGAAAGAATGATGTCATCTCTCTAATTACAGAGTATAGAGAGATGATTAAGATTTCAAATTGTATGTATATAAAATATGAATATTAATACAGAGGTGAATACTTAAGTAATTCCGTGGAATTACTTAAAGCATAAAAGTATAAAAATAAGATAATAAAAATATAAGATTACATAATTGGGATTTGAACCCAAGTGTGTTGGTGAGGCAAAGTCACAGTCCTTAACCAATACACTACAGTACATGTGTTTGTTGGTTAAGTACAGGTTGTAGACACATGGGCTACAGCCTCAGTGTCTGACAGGCGAGGACAGGTCCTTTCTGTAGGTGAGTCCCACGTGTTTGGTTCCCATCAGGTAGCGAAACACTTGTACCGCTGCCTGATAGTGTTTTATGCCGGGATTCTCCAGGTATTGCGAAAGAGTGCTGACCGCAAACGAGATGTCCGGCCTTGTTAGGATGCTCAAGTAGTTCAGAGACCCAATGAGGGCCCTGTAGTTGACTTCCAGTTTCTTTAGAGCTCCAATTTCGCTTGAGGTTGCTCTCTTCAGTGGTTCTCGAGGATTTAGTGGACAGGATGCTGGGTACAGGTTGTTGAGATTGTATTCAATGAGTTTTCTCTCAATGTATTGGGTTTGATTGAAGTGAAGGCCGGCATCGAAACGCTCTAGGTTCATTCCAAGTAGAAAAACTGCTTCGCCTGGGTATTTGATCTCGAATTCCTGTTCAATTTCTTGTCAAAATATGTTTGGCTCTGCACTGATGATGACGAGATTGTCTACATGTGCAAAAATCCATGTGTCTGGTCTACCTGGTTGGTTAGTTCTCCAGAAAACGCAGGGATTGGAGAGTGATATTTGGAATTTTATAGATTTCAGGAAGTTTGACAAGCGTTTGTACCAGACGAGTGGCGCTTGTCGTAGTCCGTATATTGCTTTGTTCAAGTCAAGCACCGATCCTTCCGGGCATTCCAGGCCGGCTGGTGGAAGAAGCGTTACTTTATCTTCAAGTGGGCAGGTTAGAAATCACTTCTAACGTCAAGCTGATGGATTTTCAGTCCGTTGTTGACGGCGAAGGACAAGAGGAATCGAAGTGAAGACGGCTTTCCTGTCGGCGCGTATTTGGCTTCGAAATTAAGGCCATGAACTTGCTTGAACCCCTGAGCGCAAATTCGGGCTTTCCACTTGATGATTTGATTCTCCGCCCCGAGTTTCTTTCTGTAGGCCCAAGTTGCCGGTATTGGATCGTCTGAGGGTAGTCTCGCCCGTACTTTCCACACATGGTGCTTCATCATGTTGGCAATCTCCTTCAGTTTGGCCTCTTTCCAGTTTTGTTGGTCAGGGCTGGCCATTTCCTGCTTGTGCGTTTTAGGGTCACTTGTTACCATGATTAAAAAGGCGTGTCTTCTGCGCCTTTTGCTGATGATGTTTTTTGCGTCTAGCTCGCTGCTGATTTCCTTCTCCGGAGGTGCTGTGGTCCATGCGTAGCGGTTTCTGACAGAAGACGGTTTTTCATGTGCCACGTCGATCATTATAGACTCTGTCGACTCTTTTGGACTTTCATCTCGGATCTGATTAATGATTCGATCAATTTCCTCTTCCTCTTCTCTGACAATTTGCTGTTCTTCTGCGGCCAGATTGAGTTCATCGGCGAAGGGCATGGGTTCTTCTTTGGTGAAGCTCGGTAGCCTGTTGATTCTAAGCTCAGTCACACTCTTGTTGAGTGCGGGACATTCTGGGAAGGTTGCTTCATCAAAGTGTGCGTGCTTTGCTGTGATGATTTGCTTGTCGTCCGTGCGGAGAATGCGATAGGACGAGTAATCATTCTCATAGCCTATAAATATACCTTCCCATGACAGTGGACCAAGTTTGGTGTCGCGATTCTCTTTTGGCTTTACTACCCATGCTTGACAGCCGAATGGTCGGAAAAAGTTGAGGTTCGGTTCAACTTTGAACATTAGCTCCAGAGGGCTGGATTTGCTTTTTCCTAAAGAAGGTAGACAGTTTGTTGTTGCCGTTGCTGTGCGAATTGCTTCGCCCCACCATTCCGGGGCTAAGTTAGCTTGAATCAGAAGACATCTCGTCATGTTGAGTATCGTTTGATTTGCTCTTTCTGCAACTCCGTTATTTTGCGGAGTATATGGAGGAGACACGTTGTGTACTATTCCATTTTCAGTGAGAATCACACTTAGCGTGTTGTTGCAGAATTCGCCGCTTCCGTCGGAGATTAGCTTTTTCAAGGTGTGGCCGGACTGCTTCTTGAATAAGCGCTTGAAGTTGATAATTTCCAACGCCGATTGATCTTTAGTTTTGAGTATTGCTGTGTGAATGTAGCCGGTGTACTGATTGACTAAAGTTAGAAAGTATCTAGCTCCTCCATTTGTTGAGGGAGTGATGGGGCCAACTAGGTCTGCGTGAACCGCCTCGAGTGGTGCGTTGACTGGTTTGAAGGAGCTATTGCAGCTTTGCTTGGTGAGTTTACCGAGCATACACGCTGCGCATGCGTGTGTTTTGTTCAGTGAGACTTGATTCGGTAGCGCTCTAGCTATTCTACCTGAGCTGGCGTGTCCGAGTCTGTTGTGCCATTTGGTGAAGTCGGATAGTTGCACATGATGCGTGGTCAGTAGGCCGACAGGATTAGGAGTTTGATTATCGATGAGTCTGAGTTCCAGCAGATCATTGGAGGTGTCAGCGGTGAAGGGTGGATTGGAGTCGACTGTTACTTGGCAAGTGCCGCTTGAGGTATCAATTTTCACATTGCGCTTCATCAATTGGATCATTGATACTAAATTTCTAGATAGGTTGGGTACATATAGAGCTTCATGTAATACTAGAATTTGACCGTTATCAAGTGTGAGCTTGGCCGTTCCTCTGGCAACTGCCGTGAGCTCTCCAGCGCCTCCGCCGGTGAGTATGCTAATTTGTGTCGGAGTGGTATTGACAAATAGGCTGATGGAGTTGATCATGTGGTTACTTGCGCCAGAGTCTAAGACGGTAGGAAGCTTTGGGTTTGTGCTTTGCATAGTGTGATATGCGAACGCAGGCCTGATACTAGCAAGATCGGGATCGCTTTCCTTGGTTGTGGTGTGGTAGGTGGAAGGTCTGGCTTTCTTGGCAGCATAATGCTCTTCTCTCTTTTCGGGATGGACGGTCCAGCAATCAGCCTCAGAGTGGTGGAAGTCGAAAGCTGTATTGTGTTTCCCGTTCTTGCAATAAACTTTTGTTGGTTTGCGTTTCACGTTCGTTGCTAGAGCCGTGGAGCTTGAGGTACTTTCAGTCACAATTTGTTTCCTCATGGCCTTTTCGTGTCGACCGATGTCACGAAGTTTAGTGATGATCATTTTCGGCTTTGATAAGGCTCCAATGTCTGAGAAGAGGGTCTGCATTAACAAGGGGCGTTTTTTGGTTATTCGACCTATTATACCGCAGCTAATTATTTCATCGGGGATCTTGATACCGATTGAACTAAATTCGGAGAGGCTTTCTAGCATTGCGCTTATGTACTTGTTCATGTCGTTCTCGAATTGAATGTCCTCCCATTTATTCCAAACTTGGAAGATCGACAACATTGAATCGCTAGCGTAAATGTCTTTGATGGCTGTCCATATGGCAAACGGAGTTTTTTGTTCTCTTCGGTTATGATGCTAGTGAATATTGAATTGTCGATCCCATGAGAAAGAATATTACAAACACAATTGGCTTTAGTTTTGGTTGGTTCATCCGCGTCTTCTTTCAGTTCTGCGTCAATGAACTCTTCCAGTTCTCTAGCCCAAAGGTGCATGCGAATTTTTCGAACCCAGATTGGATAGTTGTCCCCATTGAACTTTGGTACGTTCACTGAATCTTTATCGACGTTGTATACTTCTTTCTCTTCCTTTTCGCCTTTTTTGTCTTTGGAGCGAGTAGCGGGTGCTGTGGAGGAAGGTGCCATCTCGACTTGCTTCTAGCTGTTGCTGGTCGTTGGTTCAAGCTCGAGACTGTAAATCTGAAAAAACTCAAGCAACTAGAAGTTTTATTTTCATCAGGATGTGTTTAAGTACAAGCAGTAGATAACATTATTTGGAATAGTTATGTACCTAGAAGCAAGCGAGACTATTCCAGCTGTTTTTGTAGAAGGCTTGTTGAAAGAAGAAATGTATAGACGGGACAATGATAATGAAAAGGATAGAGTAAGAAATGTTCTGTTCGAAGTAATAAGCTGGGTTAGTATCTGTACTACATGGTGGTAGCTGTTTATAGATATCTAGTCTTACTCTTAGGATCTCGTGTCAAGTTTCTTTTCTAGGTTGTTTTATGATTGTTGCTGATCAGCGCAGTTGATTTCTGTTCAAGTGGCGGTTCTAAGTCAGCTTCGGTTTCTTCTCTTGAGCTGTTTGTCTCAAAGTTTTATTCTTACCTTTGTTCGCTTCAAGGTATAGTTTTGTGTTCTGGTTGTTATAGGTGTTGATAGTGTCTGGTCTGTCTAGAGAATAAGTCTTATGTTAGTTGTTTGACTAATTAAGCTATTCTTGATCTGTTGCTCACCGATTGTTTCGCTTGGTATGTTCTTGTTGGGCAAGGATACTGCGATGGGGGATGACAATCGGTTGAGCAGGCTGCTATTTAAGGTCGACAATGGTCAGCCTAGAAGCTCTCATGTGTCTTTGTCTTTTCTTAGTTTAGTGTGCTTCGAACTCACCTCCTGTTGGATCTGGTGTTGTTCTCTGATTCTGTCGCGTTGGCGGATAGGCTATGGTCTGTAAGTTCCAACTTAGTTAGCTTTCTGCCTCCTAGATGGTTTATAGCATGATTTGGTGACGGTGGCTTACCAATCACTGCTGAGTTCTAGCCCTTTTTAGGGTCGAATCTCTGTCTATTGAGCTTGAATTCCAACAAAGACGAGCTGCAGAAAGTTATATTTCAAGCACGGAAACGAGAACGGAAACGAGCCGCCAAGGAACGAGGGGAACGAGCCAAGGAGCGAGAGGAACGCGCCGCGCAAGTCCTATTGGACAAACAGGAGAAATCATGAAAAACTGTCTGTGTACTTCAAATTTCTCTGTGCATCTGATCCTTGTTTCTTTCCTTGCTGCTGTCTTAGTAAAAACTAGTATTTGATCATTGTAATCACTCAAACCTTACCAGAGCAGAAACACTTGAGGGTGATGTAGAGATGGTCTAGGTGTGCCCATGAATGGTGCTCATGTTTGGTCAGAAATGATTTCTAAATGCAGAATATCTTTGTGTATTCTTGAAGGAGTACAGACAATAATTCATCCACCATAGTGTCTCATTGATGCTCTGATATCTTCCATTGGATGCTTCCTTGCAAAAATAGCAACTTCTGGGAAAGTTTTCCAGAAACCCCAAGTCATGGCACTTGACACCTGCTGGGGGGGGCAATACCTTACAGCCTCTGGGGGTTTCCTGACAACAATTTCCGTGACAAATTTCATCTATAATCGTGCAGGGACATCGAGCAGCAAATTTCATGAACGACAGGAATTTCACACTGAGCCTTGGAAAACGACATGCCCAGCCATGAAGTAGGCAACTTCACATCAGAGGTGAGGAGATACATAGCAGACCAGTCAGCTGGTAAACCTTCTGGAAGCGAGAATTCGTGATTGCAAATAGTTACAGCCTTCGTTGGCCGTACACTTTGATTCCATTTCCAGAAAGTTGCACATGGCGGATTTTTTAAATGCCTCCTCTTACCCCTCTTGTACGCACCGCAGAATCATTCCGGCAGTTGTATTCACGCTTCTTAAGTTTTCAAACTGCTAGTGCGTATTGTAAGGACTGTGCGACGCAAGGAATATACAACTCTCAATGTGAAAGCAAGACGGTGCCTTATATTTAAAGATCCATTCAGCTGCATGTGTAACACTTGAATTTTCGGAGCCTTAAATCATAAAACAGTGATAAGGCCAATCCGATTTGTTGGTGTGGGGACACCTGGGCACGCTGATCGATGTCGGATAAGACCAGCACACTATTAGTCGCCGGTCCACACACAAGCTTCTCGCATGAAACCCCGACAGTGTTTGCACCGTCCCACATTCCGCTTTCTAGCATGAAACCTGATTGTTGACTCGTTGCAATCATTTACAACCTATTTTTCTATGAGCAAGAAATCTTTTTAGCCTTTAATGATTTGTGGGAATCTCCACACCATGCGGTTTAGAAGCTCCTAAAATGATAAGCTAGAGTCATGCTTTCTTATGGGTCGCAAGTAAATAATCCACTGAGCCTGCCAGGCTCAAGCATCGTTGAGTGATTTCTGAATGTTGCTAAATATATTCATACATTTGTAGCTGCCTTTCAGGAACTGGAGGATTTGCGATGAATTCATCTTGTTGAGCAAACTAAGTGAAATGCTAAATCACTGATCCCCCCAGCCTTGGCACTGAAACGTGGCGGGCAGTAGGCAGATGAAGGCGGAGACAATTGACCTGACCTGATGAAAAACGGAGCCAGACGCACTCAGATGGCAAATCGGCTGCATAAAGGTTAATATGTACTTGACTGCGCCCTGCCGCTTCCTTGCTGCCTGCCCCTTTCCCCATCTCACTGGTTCATTGTTGCTCCTACCCTCATCACTAGCACCCGAAACAAGGACATCGATGAGCGCGTGTTTTGAGTTCCAACAGTTCAGAGGTTGCTTCCGCTGTCTCATCATCTCCAACTGTAAAGAATGTACGTCACTCTGTGTATACATAAATGTTAATGTACGACGTGGCGGATGGAAAGTCATGTTGACCGGCAGATGGAAATTCTGACCGGAAGGTATTTGGCGGATGTATGTTATGGAGTCCACGGATCAGAAGTTGTTTAACCCACCTGGTTCCTGGTTGTAGCTGTGTGCCGAAGTTTGCGATGGGAAGTTTTGGATTGGGTTAGACTGTTAGACTCCGACCCAGATATGCAAGAGACCCCATCCAGCGATGACTCCAGTTGGCTGAATCGTCTACAAGCCATTCAAGATTCTCTGCCGCGTGAGTGTCTCAACATCTCCACCTCCCTATGGTTTCAGCTAGTGCTCGAGCCATTCAAAAGCAGCAGATTGCTCTTCTACACATCGTAGCTTTTCTCACGCCGAGGGTTCTCCTAACTTCAACGCGTCTTTTTTTTATCCGTTGCGCGTCCCATCTGGAGTCCCTTGAGCTCCAGCCTCTCTGTCCTGAGAGCAGCGATAGATATTCAACTCCCCTTTGGACTTTGCTGACTATCCGCTTCCGAGAATCACAAACACGATGCGGAAGACTAGCTGAAAAATTTCTGAACCTGAGAATCAGCGATTGGACCATCAGTAACCTCAAGCGACGAGGAAAGATCCGCCACCGCATCTGCGATCCACAGGATTGCGCTAGTTGCAGTCAGATCCAAAATGGCCGAAAAGAACTGTAAACGACCACGCTTCCCTTATAAAAAGTCATTCAAGTAAGTCATGTGACTTTGCTTGATCGGCTTGCCTCACAGATATTCTTCATTTGTTGATTGATAGGGGGTGTGTTGTCTCCACCTTTAGTGACTTCTCTGCCACCGATTCTCGTCACTCACTAGCAGAAGTGACCACACCCATCCCGTCGGACAAACGAACAATAAGTCCGAAGAAGAACAAGTTGAGATCTACCACTAGGAAGCACAGGGGTGACAAGAAAAACGTTTGGTCACCTATTAGTCATTACGTTCCAACTTCTTTTACGCTTTCCCTTGACAGCATCTCCCCCAAACAACCATCGCCCCGTTTCAAGCGTCGCTGGTCGTCTAAACCTATGCCTTCAGAAACGGCAAAGAGCATGTCTTCCATCAAGCAGTATGAATCCAGTAGCTTTAAACATCAGGCCAAGGGCGTATTCCGGAGGATCTTTCTCAGTGCTAAAAAGAGTCTCATTCCATCGAAGACTAAGCTGACGAGGAGGCCATCGAGTTCTTCATGGCGCTCAAGGCCAAAGAACGCGTCAGAAGATCCTCTCAATCCCTCCAAACCAAAGATATCATACCCTATGAAGCTGCACAACTCGGACCTCACGTTCGTAACCACTCAAGATCCATGGGAAACATCGGTCCGGTCGTCAAGCCTGCACCGTAGAGCTACCGTCGGTACCACCCAGTCTCATAACCGTTCAAGATCCTGTACGGAGAGTCGATTCTCAAGTTGCCAGCCGTCACAAGAAGGCAAGCGTCTATCTTGCAGCATTCAGCAGCGTGTTTCGAAGGACTCCATCTCCAATCCAAATCCCCACATGAAGTTGCGACAAGAAGGAGCACCATTGCGGAATCGCTCGGCATGCACTGACCGACCGAAATCATCGAGTCACGCTAGGGTATCGTCTTCTGATTCGCACTCGAAGCGCAGTCAGAATCACTCATTTCCACCCAACCGAGGTAGCCTTTACCGTCACCCTCCCACTAGGCCCCTATCACTTTGCAATCATAGTCGACGTAACTCCATTCTGCTCGCTCGGGATGACAACGCAAGAAGGAGCAATATCGACGAGAGCAGCCGCCGGAGCTCGATGACCAGCTCCAATCAACTCCGCCAAAGCTGGACCACAGGGCGTGTCGTTTTGGATACTTCAACCGCACAAGGTTCAGGTCTATCTTGCTCTGAGCGGTCCTCTGTCATAACCTCCGGGACTGATCAAAAGAGCGTCTCAAGCTACCGTCGACCGGCGAACAATGATTGGGCTGGTGTGATCGAAGAAGATATCACTTTGACTCTTATGGGCTGCCCTGCAAGCTCACCCACCACTCAAAGAGCCTCTCCAGTAGCGGCAGCAAGGCCAACACCACCTCCCACCGCCACATCATCAGTGTCACCCCCAGCAGTCATATCGCCTATACCATCTTCGACACTCGCACCGTCTATATCATCTGCAGAAGACGCGTCTCTCGACAGCTCATCTGAAGAAGACGTATCTGTCGGGAATCTACATTGCGAAGACACGCCTCGTAAACAAGTACGTCCAGAAGATTTGCCTATCGAGAATTCAACTCCAGAGTACACTCCTCGGAAACACGCACGTTCAGCAGACGAGCCTCTCGAGGATTCCAGTTTAGAATACACCCCTCGCAGACAGCTATTCTCAGAAGACGCGTCCTCCCTGCCACCATCCGTAGATGCACCTCCAACAACAACAACGCTACCAACCGCATCTTCCACACCAGGCTCGCCAGATGATGCATCTGTTCCACCACCTTGTGCAGCCTCTTCCCCCACACCTCCATCAACTCCTTCCCCACCACCCTCTCTTCGATCGTCCCCGCCGCCTTCCCTTCGATCGTCCCGACCACCCTCTCTTGGATCGATTTCACTTGCCAAGCTTCACCGGCCGCTTTCATTGATGTTTGAGTCCATGGGCTCTTCCCAGCTCGACGGGATCGATGGTCATTCCAAACGCCGATCAGATTGGTACGCTGAACTTATGACAACTGTCGAAGAAACAATCTCCAAACTAGATTGAATTCATGTAAGGTCTCCCTTCATCTATTCTTCATATCACTTCTTGGATCAATCTAATGCTTTCATCCATTCATTTTCTTCTGGAATTTCTTTCAGACATCAATACATATGCATGCGAATGGATGTCATGATCAATGAACACGTTCCTTGGTCCATGTATCCTCTCATTTCGGGGCTCTGGCGGGCGTCAAGACTGATAAATATGGGTTATTTTCTTCAATATCAGCGAAAAAACAACAAAGAGAACAAAAAAAAAATGATTTCTTTACAATACATAAGTATACCACTACTCTCAAGTTTCCAAAAATACGCACGACTTTCCTGCTTGCTTCTTATCCTGCTGAAGATGTTCAGATCATGTAGGGTCTGGCTTCCTGAATAGTTTTCGTAAAGCCATCTTCAATCGAGTCTTTCAAGATAGAATTGATTGCGTAATCTGCTATACTAATTCTTTTTTCCCTTCTCTCCTGTAATATTGTCGATAGTTCACGATTTCAAACAAGCTAAGAAGTTGTCAATCTTGACCATATAATTTTCTACATCTTGTTTTTCTCTTTCTGTTCACTCTTTTTTCCAAGCCTTTTTCGGCAGTTTAATCTTAATTCCTCACTCGATACCCCTTATCTCTTTTCAATTATAGAATTAAACCCGTAATTGCCTTTTCTATTGGTCTCTCTGTAGCTCACATCTTTCTAAACTTTCTGAATTTGATCGATTTGTCTGTATTGAAGCAGACTCAATCGATATCCAGTGTTCCACCCAACAAACAATAAATGATAATTGACTTGACTTGAGAATGATGTGAACCAACCAATTGTATGCAATAAGTATTCCAATGAGACCTTGTGTCCATGTGTCCAACGACGGCCTAGTTTAGAATCCTGACCAGATTGAAAGTCCATTTACCTTCTCAATGAAATGAAACCAAATACATATCTTAATTCCTGCTATAAGTGCCAATGCACCATTGAGTACCATGACCGAAGTTTTAATAGACCGGAGTGAGTGGAATGTGAGATGAAATGATAGGTAACAAGGGATTATAGACAAAGAGTGGTGCCTAGTGTGAACTGTGACAGCTAAGAGTAGCCCAATCAACGCAACCCAATAAGGGGACACATTGCAACCTTATGTTTATCTTTCCATCCAATACCTTGGAGGCCATTCTGAAGAACCCTCACCCCCCCTAATGTGTAGACTCACTTTAAGATGTATAGATGCTCATGCTCTTGGGTCATTCACACTTACTTACATAAATTAAATTCACTTCAGAGTTGAATTATACACACTAAAAAAGTAAGCATAATATGGTATTTACAAGAGAACCTGGTAACACCAGACAAGCAAAAAGAGAGAGCTGAGAGGGAGCAGAGAGGAGTTCGTTTTTGTAGAGGTTTATTTGCTATGCCAGAAGACGTTATGGGCAAACAATTACAGGGGCATGAATGATGAGGCACATCAAATTACTTTTTTTTTTTTTTTGTTGTTATTGTTGAGCTTATGTCCATGTCTATTCGGATATTCATTGATACTTTGTTTTTGTTTTTTTTCTTGATGTGTAGAGGTAAGTAAACTAACTAACTTTGTACAAAATTGTTGACAGACATTTTTAGTTTTTTATTTATTTATTTTATTTATTTTTAGTTTTTGTAATTTTTTAGAAGAACCCTCACCCCCCCTAATGTGTAGACTCACTTTAAGATGTATAGATGCTCATGCTCTTGGGTCATTCACACTTACTCACATAAGTTTAATTCACTTCAGCCAGTTAGAGAGTGTAGTACACACTAAAAAAGTAAGCATAATATGGTATTTACAAGAGAACCTGGTAACACCAGACAAGCAAAAAGAGAGAGAGGTGAGAGGGAGCAGAGAGGAGTTCATTTTTGTAGAGGTTTATTTTGCTATGCCAGAAGACGTTATGGGCATACAATTACAGGGGCATGAATGATGAGACACATCAAATTATTTTTTTTTCTTTGTTGTTATTGTTGAGCTTATGTCCATGTCTATTCGGATATTCATTGATACTTTGTTTTTTTTTTTTTTTTTCTTGATGTGTAGAGGTAAGTAAACTAACTAACTTTGTACAAAATTGTTGGCAGACATTTTTAGTTTTTTAGTTTTTGTAATTTTTTAGGCGGAGAGAGAAAGAAAGAAAGAGAGAGGGAAGTAGATGTATCAAATGACAGGAAGCTGGAGGACGAAAGACGTTAAAAATACGATATTTAATGTTTTTGTTGTTGTTTATTTAAACGGGCCCCAGACACACATCGAAAAAAACAAACTAAAAGAAAAAAAAAAAAGGATGTACAACATGATCACAAGAAGAGGGAGAAGGAGACAGTAACACGAGCGAGCAACAACAAACATAAACAAATCAAAAAAGATGTTGGTTGAGAGACTTTTCCAGCTATTGTCACTTAAAAGCGACATAAGAGCAAAAAGGGAGGAAGGTGTTTTACTACATTTGAGATAAGGAAGAGGATGCGGGATCAAGAAAAAGGAGCGGCTTTTAGAGTTGAAAGAGTGGGATCCAGTAAGAGTTGGGGAGAGAGAGGGACCATCTGGATCAACCCGTCAGTTAGCAATAAGAGTGGATGACAGGAAGCTTGTGAACAGTTGATCGTCGACCCATTCCCGAATATCAACACCAGCCAATCAACCCAAGTGGACCAAGAATAAGCTTAAGAATCTCCTGTGTAGCTTGGTAAGGAAGGGGTGCAGAGAGAACCAAGGATCGGAGTTTATGAGTGTGAGCGGTGTCCAGTTCAACCGACCAACCAGGACAATACCATCCACAAGCCAAGGCCGGCAAAGACCGCCTTGAGCAAGGGACGCGAGCCGGAGAGTTGGGATTGGCCTTGCTGAACCTTGGCCATCGCATGTGCGGCACGTTCCGAGATCGGGGCTGTGCCCGAATCGGACTTGGGCAGGGACTTCGGCAAGGGGGCTGGCGAGGAGCCGTCGCTGCTCGTGGCCGAGGGCTTCTTGGCCTCACCCATATTCGGCAAATCGATTGGCCCTTGGGGGTCCGAATATTCAGGGAAGATCGTGCGGAAACGCGGATGGGCTCTTTGATTCGCAATACACAATCAAAACGACACATCGAAACCACATAAGAATGACCGTCAGACTATGGTTCCTGCTCACGTGGCAGGCTGACCTGGGGGGAAAAGAAACTTACACGTTGAAGGAATGGGAGCGTTTGGCAAACAGTCTGCGGTCACCATCACTTGATCGCACACTTCCGGTCGTCATTTCTTCAGCAACCATGAACGAAAGTAGCCCGTTTAAGCTGGGAATGTGCAGGAAGAAGGTATCATCAGTCAACGGCTCTGAAGGGATCGACGCAGGAGAGGTAAGTGAGCTCACATCGTTGCCACACTCCAAGCCGGATTCCCTGTGATGGTAAATGGGTCGTAGAGGTATGATGAGATTCAGGGTTCTAAACAAAGAAGAATGGGGAAACAGTTCCAGGGCTGAGACTCACATGAGGCAGGATGATAGTCACTCATACTGGTACAGATCTTGCGATCAGGCTGAAATCGGCCGGATGGGGTGAGCATCTTGATGGCCGGAGGCTTGAAGGGATCTGGGGGAGCTCTAAATTTTCAGCGAGTTGTTTGAAGAATGGTGTGGGAGACAAAAGAAAAAGAAAAAAACTTACATTCGGCCGGGAAGATGACTGTACCCCAAACTGTGAACGAGCAAGGAGAGACGATAGACGGTCAGGATCGGAGGAATGAGAGTGATGATGATGGTATGAGTAGAGTGGTACACTGGACTGACACTCTCCGCCTTCGTAAGGGGTGTCGGGTGGTCCACGTAGGATGTAATGCCATTCGAGAATATCAGTCTCTCTCGGACGAGCAATGATGAATGGGGGTGGTGATTTGTTGAGGTCGACGAGCTCCTGAGGATAGTTGATTCTAGTCAGTTACTGTGAATCTGGTTGGTTTGCTATCTAGTATGGGAGGGAAGTGAGACTGACTTTCATCAATCGTTTGTTAGCCTGTTTTGAAGCCATCTTGATCGAGATTGTCTGTGTTCTTGTTCTTTGTTTTCGATGTTCGTTTCGTTTCCTCCTCAGTATATGTGGTGGTGTTCTGGTTTGTTGGTTGGTTGTGGGTGGGGCTGTTGTTGAGTGGGAACTTCTTTATATGGGCTGGCTAAGGCTTGTGATGTCTTGCTGGCACAGCACTGCTTACTGCAGCCACTGCCATACACCGGATATTCGGGTGTCCGATACAGGGTTTAATCCTGTTTAATCCCATGTCTAAAACTAATACAAATGTACCTTCATCCACCTCGACAACTCATCACTTCTTCATCATCGGCATCAGCCTCAGCAACACTGCCATCCAATCACATATCCTGCTCGGAGGACTAATCAACGGGCAACTGTTGTCCCACTTCATGGCGATCTGAGTTCATTTCGAGTAACCAGAGTCACCCAAGAAGAAAAAATACACTTGGATGAAACTAACGACATGGTACCTAAAGGGTTTGCCTTCGGCAGCGTTTACATACTATGTTGGCTATCAATTCAAGAGAACAACACACCTTAAGCTTCTACCCAAGTACCGAGTTGGAGAGGACCCGGTCATCACCTGGCGCTCCTAGGGATACACAAAATTATGTTTGGGAGGATGGATACCCAGATTTTGCTGTTTCCCTCTGGATTAAGCCAACATGACATAAGGATGTGTACATGGATGGGAGTCCCTCCAGACTGCGAGTGTGGGTTACCAGTAGCCCTACCCGTTGCAAGAAAACTGATGAAGAGTAACTCCCCTACATGGTCAATAATTGAATCAGGGAGAGGGCTTGGGAAGATTTCCTGGATGGGAACTACCAACTGCTCCTGGTCAAATGGCTTCCCCTGTCAAAATCTTCTGACAGTGGAGGACTTCCCATCACCATTTAAAATGCTTTTTAAGCCCCTCAAATTTCTAAATTAAGAACAAAATCAAAATAACAACCAGCTCACATGAGAGCCATTAACACAAGGCTTCTGAAAAAAGTTAATCTTTAAGAGGTGCTAATTGCCTCCTGGGAGGGTTGCAAATTGTGACAGGAAGTCATCCAGTATAGACAACTCTATCTGATGTCCAACTTCCCTTGAATTATATGATGAAGAATAATTCTGAGGTCCTCATTCCAGACTGTTACTATATTGATTGAGTTTCATCACAGAGGTCATGCCTATTCTCCCACCTGATATGAGCTGTGCTCTGCTCTCCATATCTAGACTGCTTAGGTTTCCAATTAATTTTTTTGTCAAGCTTTCTCACCATCACAGAATGATAGGAAGTCCTCCAGTGATCTTGTGGCTGTATCAGAATAAAAAATTCCCATGGCTGACAAAAAGGAATCCACTCCATCATGCATGCAGCGAGGTTACACAAGTGTTGGAATTTCAGTCCTGTCATCTCTATTCCTCTTTCATCTCTTCTCATGTCACTCCCTTCATCTGTCACTCATTTTCTTTCCCTCCAGTTGCATATTCATTTCTCCTTCTGTCCCACAACCTGGACCCTCACTGTCATAGTTGTAATAGATAAAATAGATTATGAAGTTAGAAATGGAAAACATCTATCTTCTGCCCCATTTCCCTGAGGTCACTATTGGATACAAACTCTTGTAGTGTGTGTGCTTTTCCGTCATGCAAGCTAGCAGACCCATAGCCCCTTTTTAGGTTCTTTGACCTCTTTTTTCAGACCCTGATTCTTTTGCCTCAATTCCTATCTTTCCTCTGTTCTGTTTGTGAAAATTCACCAATAAGCATTTGACTCTGAGGTTTTAATAGAATCACACATTCCTCTCTCCTTTTCTCACAGAACTAAATTGAACTATAGTGTCAAGATATCAATGCCTTAATAACTCACTTTGATTTTGGAACTCCACCAAATTCTAAGCAAGATATGGATCTAGCTTTCCTCAAATGCATAGATTTCAATTGCAAACAAAGGGCTATGTGAAATGTGATACTCCCTTTTGGTATTTGATTACCAAATCTAGGATTCTGCATCAAGATAAATGAACAAAAAGCCAATTTGAATAGGAGATCTCAGGGGTAGGAAATGCAGTTGGAATTTGGGTGATAAACTAATTTGGAGAAAGAAGTAAGGAAGAAAATCCAAGTGAGATATAAAACAGTAGATGTGACTAACTTGCTGTAAATTTAGGAGAAAACAGAGAAAGTAAATATCATTTGATGGGTTCCAGGTACCGGACTGCCATTGCCATCCCTAACACTAATTCCTGGAAATTTTTCTTATTTTTATCTCAAGTTCTGAATGATTTGCATACACATAAAAAATGTTTTCTTTCAAAAACAAAGAATCCCATTATGGATTATCTTAATACATGAAACAATAAATCCTTATCTTTTTTCAATGTTTTTTTTTGTGAAAAAAGATACTTTAAAATAACTTGCCAATATTACATGAAAATGTAATTTCTAAGTATTGGTGGAGGGATTGCTTACATTGTTTGGTTTATTTACAACTATTACTTGAGCGGCTGGTCCTTCAGTTTCAATTACATTGAGTATTGATTCCAAGTCCCCACCAGGTTTTCTGCAAATTGGGCATGGAGGATCTCTTTTATTACGGGCCCAACGCCTTGCACAGCCAGTATGAAAGGGATGATTGCAACTTGGCCAACCCCAGGGATCTTTTGGAAGAGGCTGCTGGCAAATTGTGCATGTATTTGATGAACTTTCCCCCTTATTCATTCAATAATCCATCAAATTTAGACATTTCAGGATTTATAACTTCCTCCATCATTAAAGATCAGTAAAATGACTTGCATTGTTCAAGTTACGTTTTATGAGATGATTACTGGATTTGAGTAGATAATTTGATCTCATGGAAATCAAGGGTTGATAGTTGACCAAAATTCCTTAGTTTGTCTTGTCTTGGACTCTAGATAGATAAAAACATTAATTTACCATTTTGATCAGGTGCAGGTATAATTGGTTTTGCAGTTAGTGCTTCAAGAATCTATGAAAATAAATTGATTGTGATCAGGATAAGATAGAATTCAAACAGTCATGGGAATATCTAACCATAGCAACCACCAAGATGCAAATTGACAACATTTATGTAAGGAAAATGACAAGATCCTGAATTTCTGAGACTGCTTGATTGAAAAATCTGAGGAGTAGACTATTGGGATATGAAATCAAGGTCATCATTGTCTAAAGAGGCAAATATATATGTTCAAGTGTTTTTTTTCAATTTGCCACCAAGTTAAAATTCAATTTTGCAAGATATCTTTCACATTCCTACATGTTTTACTACTCAGCAGAAACACTGTTACATGATTTCAAGGGGAGGGAAAAAAAATTCTTGAACAGGCCTAAAATTGTGAAACATGAATATTGCCAAACACAAGATAAAACAAAGCTCCCAGAAGCTTGAGCATAAGTTTGACTCAAGTGTGTGAGGAAGGTTCTAGACAAGTTGGAAATATGTGGTTCCCACTGCTGCCCTGATGAAGGGATAAATAGGGCAGGTCAGGTCAAGTACATTTTCTGAAAGGTCTGGAAACCTCCAACCTCAAACAAATAATTGAGTTTTGTGTAAGTACATTCAAAACCATGGGCGTGAAGTATACACCTCTATCTAGTTTGCAATGACATTTTGGATTATGATTAGTATGAATATTCTGTTTCATTCTTGGACACAGATAGGCAGCCAATCAAACAAGGTACTCACTCCTCAATATGCAGTATGTTCAATGAAATCATGCATATTTTTCATATTTCAACAGTCAGTAAACTTTGTTGGAATTTTGTCTCTTTCTTCTCATCCCTAAAATATCCATCTATCTCACCTTTTTAATTAATGATGCCTAGATAAAATTCAATTTTTTCCAGTGCCACCTCTAAGTTCCCAAAAAGAATTGTGCCCCAACAAGTCCTTTCAAAAACAAAACCTCTCTCTCTCCCGTCTCCAACCTTCAAATTTCACCAATCTTCCAGCTCAACATACAATGTGACACAGATTTTATAGCTGTCCAAGAGCATTAATTTCTTCATAGAGTGATAGGGAAGTATCTGGTTAGCTGTGTGCACGCTCATTCTCTTGGAGGGCTTGTGATTGTGAGCTGCCATCTTGAATTTAAAAGCCCATTAATTGACACCCTTCTTATGGAAATAAGTGGTTGCTTCAAATGGGCACCAGATTAACCAAATGGAACAAGGGGTCCCCTGAGTCTTACCAGGGCATTTGTTTTGGTCTGGATGGCCACCTCTAGAGTTTTATGAATCAATCGGCCAAACATATATCACCTAAGATTGTTAAAATCTGCACTCAAGATGGAGAAAAGAATTTTTTTTAACAGACTCAGTGAGCACTTTTTGAAGGGACAAAAAAGGTTATCAAGACTCAATGAGGAGGAGAACTGTTGGAATTTTCTGTCTCTCTCTCCTCATCCCTAAAAATTCCTTTTTGTTTATTCTTACAAGTGATAATGATTAAATAATAGAATACAAATTATTATACAATTGTTGTTAGTTTCTGCGTGGTATCTTGTCTTATTGTCTAGTGCTGCAATTCTTGTAGTCTTCAAACCCTGGTCTAGTCTTTATCAATAGTCATTTACTCCAGTCATCTATTCAAGAATTTGTTGATTTTGTTGTTATTCATTATGATATTCATTTTTCTCTCAGAACCACAGATTGAACTTGATGTACATAGTCTATTTAACGTGTAGGCTCTACTAAGCAAATAAAAATCATTGGCTCTCTCCCTCTTTTTTCGACCCTTGAGCCATTCCATAAAAAACTATTTTTTGTTGCCCAAAAATTCTCACCGTCTTCGGTATAAATTTCTTCAAGAACCAATGATGGTCATTACTTCTTATGTAGCTGATTTAAGTAGACTAATTACAAGTGTGATCAATTTGTGGTTGAGAAGAATTTTGAATAAGAATAATGAATAGAAGACAATGTAACACTTAGAGGTACATGAAAAATCACCAGGCCAAAAAACATCATAAACAAGAAGATAAGAGACTTTATGTGAGAGATGATAAGCTCTCCTTAGACAGGGTTCTTGACTACAAGCTAGGGGGTCAGACAACATAACACAACAAGATATCAGACTATATTGGAGAGTTAAATGGCAGATGAAGAGACTGATCAGCTGAGTGTAAAGGAGGTATAGTGAGAGAGGAATGAGTAAAAGACGAGATTTTCAACAAAGATTGTGAGAGAGGCTGCAATCTCTCCATGAGCCTGAAAGGAGGGTACAACAGACAGGGAAAGTGTCAACTCCCGTCTCTTAGGTGACTAGGGGTTGATGGGTTGATTGGGTCACACTATGATTGTTTACACAAGATAGTGAAAAAGGGTCACACTCTAGTTGGATAAACAACTTAGTGGAATTAGCTGCTTCAGTATACTATAGGATTAGAAGAGCTGCTCCTTACAATTATAAGGGACAACAGCTGATTAATTGGGCTGCGCCAGGCTTATGAGAAGAGAAAGGATTGGTACTAGTCTAGTTAATAAGTTAACTGTAAAGGACTAGTACAATTTAGGGGGAATAGAAATCATATGTAATGTAATATTAGACTAGATTAATAACCCCACTCACTTATTGTACTGCTGTAAGATAGGTAAGGCTAACGGGTTTGTATGGTAATCTCTGGGGGAAGGAATCCTAGAGAGAAAGCCTTCCTCCTTAAGTATTGCAGAGCAGAGGTCATTCTGCTTGTAGGACCGGTACAGTCCCCATAAGGTTATATTATCTCCTTGGGGAGAAATGTCAAGATATTCTAAGAAGATTAAAGTACATGTGAGGAAAATCTCTCTTATTTCAGAAGATACACACAAGAGAGATAAACTAAACTTTCAGTATTTACAAGAGAGATACACAGGATAAATCTCTTTGATAATCATAAGAGATAATTATCCTTTCCAATCTGAGTATAACATTCAGGAAATGGGTAAATTAATAAAGAGGTAAATCTTTATTAATTTACTAAATATTTATTAATATAAATAATACATATAAAAGAGAATAAAATTACTGTAAAAGAGAATAACATTACTGTATACTTATTAACTTAAAATTACATATAATAATATTTATTATGTAACCCAAGGGGGTTACATTCTATTGTAGACACCTGGGCTAGTGTCTCAGTGTCTTACAGCAAGAATCTCATCTGGTTGATGACCTGGAACAACAATGAGCCAGAAGTTACAGCTAACCATGCAACTAAAACAAGTTACAGACTGAATACTTCAGCTATCCAGAAAAATTCAATCATAAGGGATTGGTATTTCCTGCTTGTTGAAGTTGTTTGAAAAAACATTTGGTCAATTCAATGATTTTTCAATTATTAAATGCATGACCAATGCTTCAGGCTGATATGGATAACTGGATAACATATCTGCCCACCACAGTTCAGCTGAAATGTTAGTGTTGAGTCTTAGCCTTGCTCCACGACTCAACAAGACTGCACAGTCAGCAAATCAACAACTTAGGGTTTGAATCACTTTCCTAAAAAATAAAACTCGATTTTTCAAACTCAATCTTTCTTCATCCAACCAAGAAACCACTACAGATAAACTTCCTCAAGACTTGTCCTACTAACAATAATCATCAAACGTGCAAGACTCTTGGAATCTCTGCACTTAATGTAAAAAAATAGAACTCATTTATCCTCATTTGGCTCAACCTTATCCTGACACATTTTGTCCCCATTCCTCTCTTTTCTCCTTCTGCTATCTTTGCTTTCCTTGTGTGTGTCAAACTCAAACATATCCATTGGGCTGTTTGTTTCCTTCTCTTTTGTCATCTAACTTATTTTTCTTTTTGTATCTGTTTCTCTGGGGTTGTTGTCAAAAGAAGTAACTTTTTTCCTTTCTTTTTTCTTTTTTCTTTTTTCTTCTTTCTCTCACCTTCAGTCTTAATCTTTGGATTCTATTTCCTCATTCTCTTTAGAAAGTCCTCATACACCTCTAGTCATTCATGTCAATAGTATGCTTCTATCTGAATTTCTTTCATCTTTCTTCTCATTGTGACTCATTTCTCATTGTGACTCTTTTTCTTCTTCTCAGTTCTGGTTTTTTGGTTTTAAGCAATAAATTCAATTTTCTACAGTTAGCTGAAAAATTGGTCACAGATCTAATAATTAAAAAATAAATGACATGACCAAAACACTTTGTTCCACACAACTTCAAGGAACAGGAAAGACCAATCCCTGATGATTTAATCTTCCTGGATAACTGAAGTATTCAGTCTGCAACTTGTGTTAGTTGCCATTGTAAGCTGTAAATTCTGGCCCACTGTTGCCTGGACTTGTGGTGGCGGCAACATCTTGATAGGCTGATTGCTCAGGTAAGGCAGGTGGGGCTTCATCTTGAGGGCCTGAGGGTTCATCTTGATGGGCTTTAGGCTCATGTAGAGTGGCTTGGGGTGCTTGATTGTCCTCTTAAGGGGCTGATGGATCTTCTTCAGGGGCTTGAGGGGTCTTCTTGGGGTGCATCTTGAGGTCCTGGGGGGATGGGTAGCTGATTGGGTGGACTAGGGGGTCTTCTTTGGGGGGCTGGCGGACATGGTATTGGTGAAGGCTATTTTGGGTGTTTTGGGTGTTTTGGGTGTTCTGGGGGGCTCTGGGTGGGTTTGGTTGGTCTGGGGTGCCTGGGGCCACTGGTCATGTTTGCTAATGGTTCAATTGTTTGGTTGTTAGTTCACTAAGGAGGAGGGAGGTTGGGAGCCGCTGGGAAGGTGTGGGAGAGAGGGGAGTCAGAGATTGACTGCCCATAAGTGGGTCCAAGGTAGATTTTACCTTTCAAGTTTGAAGTTAACTCATTTATACATCTTTGTCCTGACTTCCAAACCCCACTGGGATTTTGGAGTAACAACTCCCAAAAACCCTGGGGGTTTTTGATCTTTGATTTGATTTGATTTATTATTTTTTTAGAGGTCAGACTCCCAAACAAGTCAAAGGTTTTGGATTTCCAACTGCCAAAAAATTGGGGAAAGAATTAGGGGGGTCAACCTCAAGAGGACAGTCCACAGCCAGTCCTCTTGACATCCCCAAAATTTGGGAGTTGGAACTTCAATTTGAGGGAGTCAATTAACCAAGCCCTTATTACTATGTATTCATTGTTTTTATTGTTAGTCCACCTGTCTGAAATTTTCGCAGGCTGACACACTGAGTATGTTTTGAATGATTGATTCACAAACCAAAGCGTGGTGATTGATTATATCTTTGATAGTATGGTACCTGATTCATGAAACTAGTCTTGGGGGGGGGGGTTGGCAATGTCAGGGACCAAAATAGGCCACAGCACTTTGGGTGTCTAAACCTGGAAGGTGGTCATTTTGGCAACTGGAAATAGCAACCCGCATGGAGATACTCTAAGATAGCTATCTCAAGTTCAACAGACAGATGATTTGGGGGCTGAATTATTAGTTTTGGTTGGTGCTCATTGCACCCAAGACCGCTTGCATACCAATGATTATCTCATTTTC